TGTGTGTGTGTGTGTGTGTGTGTGTGTGTGTGTGTGTGTGTGTGTGTGTGTATGTTCATTTACTTTTAGTCTGTTGTTCAGATAACATAGCTGAGTTTGTGTTTTTGTGCTATTGAAATGGCCATGACAGGTGCATGTTTACCTGTACTTCGTATTATAGTGCTGGAAGTTTAAAACGTTACACCCCCCCCCCCCCCCCCACACACACACACCAACTCTTGCGCAAAAAAACGTTGAGTTCCATTCTCTGGTGGAAAAGTAGGTTTTATCGAGTGGGCCTGTCTTTTTGCGAGGATATTGTATCCCACTCAGTCCAGGTTTGCCTTGCCTGGCAGAGTCGAAGCCGCCCGTGTCCTGAATAATTATAATTATGTCGGCTGCGGCGAGGAATATAGCTGCTGGCTATAGTGCTGTCAAAAATTTGTGGCGCAACTTATTTTCAAATATCTCCTCAACTATCGAACATAAATTGTCCAGCTTTTGCACAGTGACTTGTATCAATTTGTCTTAACAGATCAATATTTTTGTAAAGACCTCTAGACTATTCTAGAAAATTCTTTACTAAATACTAATAAAAATCCTAGCGGGTGGTTTCTACTGATTTGATTATGTTTGCAGCTTGGACAATATCGTTTTTAAAAGCAAGTCCGTCCTTTTTTCCTAATCGCGAGTTTATCTTTATTGAATTCATGTTCTGAGAACTTCTAGTGCAAAAAAGTGTTCACTATGAAATTAATTTCTTGTAACAAGTTTTGCCACTAAAAGTAAAAGTGTCTTTGGTGAGCTGTGACGTAACCCATATGCTTTATGTTCATGTTATCTTGTTTTTTGGGTTTTTTTCTTCGTTGTTATTCTTTGTTTTAAGAGAGGTTGGGAATGAAGGCGGCTTTAAATAGAACAATAATGTCCTGCAGATGCTATGATAACAGTGGATGATCAAGATTGTTTTCTATTTTAAACATATTAAAGTCCCAGAATCAGCTCATGTGTGTAATGGCTGGATTTGGAGAACATGCAACTGTACGCCTTTGTTAGTTTAGTGTGTCTCTCCATG